CGACCTTTGTCTCCTCATATCAATATCCTCCCGGCAAAAATTTCCATCTATATACACTGCGTGACATTGAAAATGGAACACCAAGAAATAGTGGCCAGAAAATTATGCAAATTTCAGGGTAGACGCGCCTAACCGAGTTATGCAAATGATGTGAAATGCGCAGCTCTCGTGCGCACATGGAGTAAGATATAAGGGAAGGAACTTGCAGAAAGGACAGTATTCGTGTCGTTATTTCTTCAAGGAAAATCATTGTAGAAATTTTGTTCTTGTGTCAAAAGACACGTGTAATAACAGAGAATGCCAGGTCATCGTAAACGGAGGCAGTTCAAGCAGACAGACGCTTTTACGAGGGGCATGGTGATCGGACTGAAAAAGGGAAGTTTGGTCCATACGTCAAATCGCAGCTGATACACACCTTGGTGTGTCCACGGTGCACCGACTGTGTAGAAGATGGTTGGAGCAAGGAAATGTGGCAATTTATAGGAATGCCGGTGCAACCAGAGTGACTTCAGCACGTGTGGACCGGCGTATCCTTCGACAAGCAGTGGCGGCCCCACAAGCCACTTGTACCGCCATCCTGCAACATGTGCAAGACACCCTAGATCATTCCATCTCGACCAGAACCATTTCCCGTCGATTGGTTGCTAATGGCTTGCACTCATGCCGTCCGCTAAGAAGACTGCCATTGACCCCACCGAATAGGCGCCAACGTTTGGAATGGTGCCGGGCTAGATCGACGTGGATGACGGAATGGCACAGGGTCGTGTTCTCAGATGAGTCGCGTTTCTGCTTGTCCGGTGATAGTCGCCTTGTACGCGTGTGGCGTCGACGTGGAGAAAGGTCCAATCCGGCAGCAATTGTGGAACGCCCCACCGTGCGACAACGTGGAATCATGGTTTGGGGCGCAATCGCGTATGATTCCAGGTCACCTTTACTTCGTTTTCAGGGCACTATGACGGCCCAACGATACGTTGATGATGTGCTGCGACCGGTGACACTCCCCTACCTTCAGGGGGTACCCAATGCCTTTTATCAGCAGGATAACGCCCGACCGCACACTGCTCGCATTAGCCAACAAGCTCTGCAAGATGTACAGATGCTTCCCTGGCCACCGTACTCTCCTGATCTCTCACCAATCGAGCACGTCTGGGACATCATTGGACGCCGTTTGCATGCCTTGCCACAGCCGCGTTCAGAAGACGAACTGTGGCAAATGGTTGAGAGGGAATGGAGAGCCATCCCTCAGGACGCCATCCGTACTCTGATTGACTCTCTACCTAGACGTGTTGCTAAGTGCATCGCCGTCCGCGGTGATCCTACTTGCTACTAAGCCGACGCCGTTCTCGCTCTGTATTATGACTATCATTTTGAAATAAAGATCAATTATTGTTCGTCCCTGTCTCTCTCTGTCTGCCGAGTTTCATCACTTTCTGGCCACTATTTCTTGGTGTTCCATTTTCAATGTCACGCAGTGTATATGAATATATTTTAATCTCTATTTTTAAGATATATATTTCTGCATCCTTTATATTGCAACGATTGGGAATTTTATAAAGGGAAGAAATGGCTTATCAGTGGTGAACCTTCCCTCTTTCAATTTTTATCATTGCAGTATTAGAGCTGTACAAGTAGATATTAAATATATATTTCAAATAGCTCTCAAGATTTATTTATATCTTTCAGCGATATAGGGCGATAAGGCAGATGATTTATGTTAATACTTTTTTGGTTGATTCGGACGATTCCATTGAACTTCCCGATAGGATGATTGTGATATCATTCAAGTACTGATCAATGTCATAGCATCAAACTAGGGTAACGGGTTTCCATTTTCCAAAGATGTTCTGTCTCATTAATTGATCTGTGTTTGCGAGGCTTGGGAATAGGAGAATGAAATATGTATTGACGGAACGGTTGGAGGACTGACAAATCCGAAAGCTTGAAAATAAAAAGTTGCACAAGAAACTTAACCCTGGAAGCTTTCTTTATTTTATAAGAAAATGTATTGTTTAATACATTTTTTATAAAAGGGTTAAACTCTTAAAATAAAACTCTTTTCAAAGTTATTGTCTGAATATGTCCGATATACATACTAAAAGATGCAACTTTCTCAGGTTTTGTCTATATTCCTATATTTTTTTTGCCATTTCAATATCCTCAAATGACATACAGAGGCTGAATCAAAGATTAAGGGTATTTACGCTTTCAGAAGCCTCATCACTTGAGTATTCAAACTGCCAACCTGGCAGTTGATACCTAGTTTGGAAGCACTTGGGTGTTCTATCACCTTTTTCCTTCGTTACTTTCTTCTTTTTTTATTCGTGTCAAACTGACTTAATAGAGAACATTATGACTTTCATTTGGGTCATAATGCTGCTAGAGCAACAAGAAACATTTGTGGTGCGAAAGGAAAGGGTCCTTGAACCACATTACCAGAACTGAATGGTTCGCGAAATTTCACTTAGGTGACAGGTATAGTGGATATAATCAAGCAAAACAGAAGCAAAATCGACAACAAGCAGCATTCGGAGACTGAGCTGTGGACATTACGAACCATTGTGGTTCGTCACCTTCTCGAACCAAAGGCAATGCGAATATAAATTACCGCTTTGTACCTCACGAATTGACGCCAGCTTAGGCAAACCACCTGCAAGAAACTTCTAGCTAATCCGCATTATTCGCATTTCATAAAATGAATTGTTACTTGCGATGAAAATGCGTCTATTATCGTACAATCAGCACCGAAAAGCAGGTTGGTCACGGGTCAACCTCCTAAGTATATTGTCAAACTTGGACGTATAAACATAATTGATTCTGTGCGTCTGGTGAAATTTTGAAGATATAATCCAAGACTAATTAATTTCGAAAGGTCAAATAATCAAAGGAACTCTGAATTCTGAGCAGCTGAGGCAGGTGCAATTAATTTTTAAACATAAATACTTAGTAATTCTGAACAGAAAACGCAGCAGGATAATGCGAAACTACGTACTGCTCGACCAACACAAGAAAAACTCCAGTACCTTCAAGTAATCAAACTGTTGTCGCCACAACCAGAATATATTCTGGACCTCGCACCGTCAGATAATTACTTGTTCCGGTCAATGTTCCTCCGTGGTCGGCACTTCAATGACCTGAAGGAGGTATTCGCGTCGAAGGATCAGAAGTGATTTTACCGGGATCGAAGAACTGGCAGACGGTGCAACACGATGACTTTTCATTTAAAATATATAATTCAATTATATAATACATTACACACACAATGTTATGTCTTATAAAATAAAGTGGCCAAAATATTGCAAAACCTTAGGTTAATTTGTATTCTTTAGAAATATCTATTCACATATACAATACATAAAATGTTCCATATAATTATTTTATCTATTCTCTCAATATATATGACTAGACGAATGGCCCGGGCAACGCCCGGGTTTTACCCGAGTGCGAATATATTTTAAAAACGTTGTCTTGGGTGGTCGCTATAGAGAGGGTGGTCTGTATAGACAGGTGTATGTATCACACAGCTGATAACAGGGTTGTCTAGAGTGGCCGCTATAGACAGGGTGGTCTGTATAGACAGGTGTATGTATCACACTGCTGATAACAGGGTTGCCTAAAGTGACCGCTATAGACAGGGTGGTCTGTATAGACAGGTGTATGTAACACACTGATGATAACAGGGTTGCCTAAAGCGACCGCTATAGACAGGGTGGACTGTATAGACAGGTGGATGTATCACACAGCTGATAACAGGGTTGTCTAGAGTGGCCGCTATAGACAGGTGTATGTATCACACAGCTGATAACAGGGTTATCTAGAATGGCCGCTATATACAGGGTGGTCTGTAAGGACAGGTGGATGTATCACACAGCTGATAACAGGGTTGTCTAGAGTGGTCGCTATAGGCAGGGTGGTCAGTGGTCGCTATTGACAGGGTGGTCTGTATAGACAGGTGGATGTAACACACTGCTGATAACAGGGTTGTCTAGAATGGCCGCTATAGACAGGTGTATGTATCACACAGCTGATAACAGGGTTGTCTAGAGGGGGGCAGGGAGGACACGTGTTCGCCGGCAGCCAATGGGCGCGCATTCTATCCGTGAGCTTCAGACAGAATAAGGCAATTATATATAGATTACATCTGCCACTCTTTGCACTCCCTCATTTTTAATTTAAGTAATATAAAAGCAAAATTCAAATAAATCTTAATATTTCCAAATTTGTTTAACTTGTGCTTACTCGCAATGAAAATTAAAATTTGAAAATTTGGAATTTTAATTGTCATATTTTGCATAATAGAAGGATAAGCCATTTGATTAAAATATTGCCACGTAGAAAATTAGGAAAGACAAACTTCGGGATGACAGAGCAATTTATTTAAGGCAAGAACAAACTATGAATGATAAAGAAAGATAAGCAAATAAAGAAGTTTACAGGGTGGCAAAAATAAACATTAAAATGATACTGTGTTAATAAAATAATAAATAGTTTGCTACAATATGTATATCTAGACGAATAAACAGGGCAACACCCAGGTTTTACCTGATTGAATTTCTCCCTGGAGGTTTACGTATGAAATGAAATTAAAGTTTTATATTAGTTACAATTATATATTTTGACCCTGCCTCGCTCAGATTCTTCCCAAGTGAATGCTTGCACAACAAATAATCCTTTAACAAAAGTTATTTATTATATTTTATATTTCTAAAGTGTAATACATACTTCTAATTTGATATACTATATAGTACATTATAAAGGACTGCGGCGTATGATTATAAAACAACACTTAAAGTTTCACCGCATAAGTTTCTTTTCTGTGAAAAATCAATACTTATTTCAAAGAGAAATATCTACTATTTCTAACTTTTTTGGATGACGTATGAAAGGGTGAAAATATGAAGAGTGATGGTCTATATATGATTGGATGACGTATGAAAGGGTGAAAATATGAAGAGTAATGGCGAACGGAAAAATAAAAGTGTCCAGGGGCGGGAATCGAACCCACAAGGGTAGCCAGGGACATGGCATCTGCCCGGTAAGCGGAAGGTTGTGGGTTCGATTCCCGCCCCTGGACACTTTTATTTTTCCGTTCGCCATTACTATTCATATTTTCACCCTTTCATACGTCATCCAAAAAAGTTAGAAATAGTAGATATTTCTCTTTGAAATAAGTATTGATTTTTCACAGAAAAGAAACTTATGCGGTGAAACTTTAAGTGTTGTTTTATACTATATAGTATATTCATGACTACTAATTAAGGTTATAATTATATAATATTAATAAATAGCATTTGTTTAAAAGATATTCGTCTGTAAAAAATTCATTCAGGAAGAAGCTGGGTCATTCAGTGAGTATATAATATAATTATGCTTATTTTATAACTACAGAATCTGCTAAATAGTTTTTTATTTGACTATTTTTAATATTCGTGAATATATATGCAAAATATCCAATTCTTTTTCAGTAGATTTGGTGGAGAATAGTAGCAAACATCAATTTTTATAATTATAAAAAAATATATTTTAAGTAGTTAAAGAGAATTTATTACGTGATAATGGATAATTTGAAATCTGATAATAATAAAGATAATGATAAAATGATATTAATACACTATTATTAGACATAATTTTATAGCTTTTAATAAATTAAAAATACGTCTGGGTTCTGCTATAGTGGATGTTTCTCCAAGGGCGCGGTTTTAACAAATTTTTGCCTGTAGAATTTTTATTCTTGCCGAATGACCCGAGTAATGCTCGAAATTTACCTGAGAACATTTAATCAAGGGAAAATGTATCTTTATATATGTTAGCAATAGTTATTTAGAAATTATATTGTCCGTTGAAAAGCAGAAAAATTGCTCGAATGCTTGCAAAATCAAAAATTAAAAGAAACTCTTTACCTCAATTCTATCTTTATATATATAAATCAACGTATGTGTATATTTATTATCATTTTTAGCTTATACATTTTCTCAATATTTAACCAATTTGGCTGAAAAATTGCAGTATATAGATTCAACACAAAGCAATAACGCGCCATCCATACATATAAAATGAAAGGACTCAAAAGCGCGTAATGCAATACTTGCTCGATGCAAGTATTTGAAATGTAATTCTAATGTCCTATAATACTTATGTCCATAGTTTTCTAGAAAACCATTTCTGGGATTCCACCCTTCAGTGCTGCGTATGTGGGCAGAATCGTTCAATACAGTATTGGAGCTCCGAGAAGCGGTCTGGTGGATTAAATTGGCGAAACCGCTGGGAGGGTTCACCACTGATGAGCCAAGCCCTCCCAATATATTTTTTCCATCGCAGTAAGGACAGTAGAAGTTTGAATTGTGTATAAAAGAAACATTCGCGCTTTTGAGTCCTTTCATTTTATATGTATAGATTCAAGTTGGGAAAAAGGTTTTTCACATAACATTTCGATCAAAGTAATTTCGTCAAACAATTGCAAATTAACAAATTATACTGGACTATATATAATTTATATATTTTTAGTCAGAAATGATCATAATATATCATATGATTATGATTATATTAATGCATCATGTTATATTGGCAGAATCAAAATCCATGCGTGCAGCAATCACTCGAGCAGATCACGGGCGAAGCCAGGTCACATATATATGAAAAAAAGTTCAATAGCCACTTTGACTATTTTAAATTGATATTACTAATAAAAATATATAAATTTGTCAAGTATGTGTATAGATGAATATGCAGTATAAAATATATGTTATCAAAATTCTATTCACACACCAATTCAAAAACTAATTTACCCTTTTAAAAGAAAAATGATATTTAGATCTTTAAGTAATTTCACTTGCCAATTTTTAAAAGAAATTCAAGTATGATGCCAACTTATTTACATTGGGGTCTTAATATGTGATGCTAATATTGCTGCAATAAGTTTATTAATGATGCATTCTTATAATAGCAGTAAATATAATAGCCTGTTCTATGAATATGTCTAGACTACCTGCACTTCAAAGCCTTATTAAATATTAAACGTACAAAGCTAAAATATTAAATATACTTTGAAAATAGAGCAAACCATATTTAAATCTTTAGATAATAAAAAGGCACATATTAGATTGAGAATAAAATATTTATTTGCCAATATTTCGGTTGGCTGAACGCCAACTTTTGTCAAGGCATTGCAACGTATTATTTTGTATGAACATATACACTCAGCGCCACATAGCATCATGAGATTGCAGTTAAAATTCTCAATAATGGAATTTCAATTTACTAAATGTACGCTAATGGACAAAACATATAGAAGTTGTAGCATTTAACATGCATATCGAGATTCAGGCAATAACTCTGAAAGAGATTTGAAACATAGTGACCTTTATTGAAGACACACGAGTAGCCAAGTGTGAACAAAATTGCCTCTGTCTCCTTCAAAAAAAAAGACGACCGGCGACATCAAAGAGCTTCTACTTCCCTACGTTTAGCCGATTAAGTGTGTTAAAAATTTCACACAATATAAAAGAAAATATACAAAAATAATCCTTTACCGACCACCCAGAAGTCTGAACATTTGTACATTTGCATTGTTAGTAGGATTGTTCTATAAAATATCAGACTTGACGTTGTCTGGAAGTATGCTAAAATTGATTACAAAATTTGAAGTAAATATAGAAATTTAAATTAGTCTATTGCGCCGACCACCTAGGCCACCCAGAAGTCTGAAAATATCTCAACTTGCAATTTGATCAGATATCTTATTTAAATAGATGATATATAGATGAAATAAAGTTGTGGGAGGATTATATTCTTGTGCAGAAAAAGGCATCTCTCCTTTAAATTATGTATTATAATAACCTTTATGTTTATATTACTCTAGTTAAATTATGTATTATAATAACCTTTATGTTTATATTACTCTAGTAAAAACCTTTACGGTGGCGATAAGGAATGAAATTTACAGAATTTTTCAAATATTTGTATTTTATCTTTTCTTCGTTAGGTTGAGTATGTCTCTAGTTTACTCCATAACAACGACGTGTTTCCTCATCTGATATGTGGTGTAGGCTTTTATCATTTGGTAATGTTCAATTACAAACCCTTTTGTTGTGTCCCGATGTCTTGACTTCATGGAATTATCCCAATCGTAATTATGGATTAGATTTCTTATTACTTCTTCATTTTGAATAGAGATAATTGTCTGGTTTGTGCTATTGTTCATTTTTGAAGCTTTTATGTTATTGCCCTCTCAAAATGTTCAGAAAATTACTTTATGACCTCTAAATTTTAGTTTCCTTTAGGTATTTAGAAGTGATTTCACAATCAGTCATTTAGGGTGTCGACTCCATCAAGCACCAGTTTGATTCTCATTTTGATAATAATAAAAATTAACGTTGAAATATGATGATGTTTCTCTTTGAGTAAATTTGATATCAATTTGGTCTCTAGTTCGTCATAGACATATTTAGACGGGTTCTTTGACGAAACTAAAGTAGCCAATATACTGTAATTAAATGCTTTTATTGAATATAAAACATGTATGTACATAATTTCTTTTTAGAGAATATTTTATTCATTTATATGAAGTTTTTCAAATCGTTTTCGATGATATTTAAAACATTATTTTTTAAATATCGAAACTTTCAAACTAGTGGATTTATTGATGATGTATTGGCATTTATATGTTGGTGCAAAATAGCACGTGTTTGAACTGTAAAAAGGCTTTCCAAAATTGTTGTGTTTGAGCTTTAGACGTTAACATAGACTGCTTACATGTTCAGCGTCTATTTTCGGGCCTATAAAGGAATTTTGTTCAATTAGGAAGTTTGGCGTATAGCCACGCAAAATATTGTGAGAATAAGGTTTTTGTTTCCAAGATATTTTTTTATAAATTACAATGTCCGGTGTTTTCAAACATTTACATTAACCTTTTAATGGTTTGTAAAAAAATGTTATATATGGTGAAAACAATTTTAAATTAACAAAAAATGCGCTATTTTTAATTCGTCTCAAGATAAAAAATAAATATTCAACGAATAAAAATAAATATGAGAAGAGAAAAGAATACAAAAAAACAAGCATTTCAATTAAAATAAATAAGAGCATAAGATAATTTTAATGATGTCATTTAGCAATATTTGCGGGTTGGCAGACAATCTTAGCATTAAGCTGAATTCTCGTATGCCATTTATAAATAATTCCAAGGAAATTTTAACGCTAATCATCGCCCTGTTTTTAAAGCTTACCTTTCTTCCCAGCGTAAAAAGGCAATTATGTTGGTTCAGGAGATATCTTGATAGCGCCACTTTATCATAAATTTGAGAAAGACTTATGACGGTGATTTGTTCTCAAACTTCTTTGGTGTCATAACCTCGTGTGTTATTTCATTAAATTCTATTTTCATGGTGATTATTGGAGAATGCAGAGTGGAATAAATATTTAATTCACAAATTTAGTAATATTATATAGTCTCTATGGCTATATATATAAAATCAATATATATAATTTACATTATATAGATGTATTGAAATCATTTATATATATATATTAAAATAATCAATATATTTATTTTTAATTTTCCTAATTAACCATATTTGAACAATGTATCATACTGAAATCTTTGGTTATTTATTATTTTTTGAAAATCTATTATTAAAGAGAGATCTGGTTCAAATCACATTAATCGGTACCGCTCAGCAAGAGCAACCTGATAATTGAACAATGAATAATATGTGAAGGTTATTCACACATATTAAACAATTTTTAACGCGGGATTCAATCCCGGTTCATGACTGTGATGGCGCTCTGCCATCTAAAAAGCACATGTGCTCGTGGTCAGGAGATGCCTTTTTTTATTTTTAATATCAACACCTGACCCACTTATCTTTTATTTTTTTCTATTGTTTTTTCATATATATATTACGATTAGATTTTTTTGTGTGTTTGATTGTTGAAAAGAGGTGCAGTCGTAAAAAGTAAAGATAATTATTTACCTTTCAAGTAGATTTTATTTTGAATTACTTGAAGTAAATTACACATAAAATTATTTATATCACAGGAATATAGAATTTATATAATGAATTCTATAATCATGAT